TGTATATCAGTTGGACACGGGGCAATTGGACACAGTCCAATCACAAGTCGCTGTTCCAAGGGACCCTACAAATGTCTCTAATCACACGGTGCTGTGATTGGCTGTGTCCAAATGCACCGTGTCCAAGTGCACCGCTCCCCCCCAGAGTCGGCAGCATCTAGAGGTCCAGGAGGTACCAATCCACGTAAGCCACGAGAGCGCTATACAGGGGTACAGGAAGCAACCGGACACGGTGGACGACCACTGGTAAGTCATTATCTATATTATTTCTATACGCGCGAAACTACGATTAAAGTCTGCGACTGTCCGACCCATCGTAAGGTTATACTACGGTGATTATACTACTGCATCTTGCGCAAAATCCATTGCGATTACTCTTGGTCGCACGGATCCCCGGGTAGAATCACGCGATTCGTTTAGCCCGAAAAATTGCGATCTGATCCCGTGCTAGGATTCGAGCACTATTCTTCATGGCAACGTGGGCGCAACCCGCCGAGACGTAACATAAGACATAGGCCTGGTTTACATCATGCACTTGATACGCGTACTAAATAGTAACTTTCTATTAGATAATTTTAATATCGACGATATATATAAACAACGGTATTTTAAGCTGGTATAATATTCATCAATAAAACGTATTGTATTGATTATATTGTATTGATTGTATTGTATTGATTGTATTGTATTGATTGTATTGTATTGTATTGATTGATGTGCGTCGCCGTTGATATGCATTGTCGATATTAAGATTATCTAATAGAAAGTTACTATTTAGTACGCGTATCAAATGCACTATGTAAACCAAGCCATTCATCAAGTCACTAGATTTTCACTTTTTCGCCAGCACATTTCATGGCTAATGCAGAATTCACACCGCGTCCGATGTCCAATGTACAGTCGCAAATTTAAAGGTTGGTGGATCGTTTTTAGCAAATTTATGAACGCATTCCGACTTGAGAAGAAAGAGAGTCGCTGCTCCGTCTGCGGGGCACGCCTGCGCAGTGAGTAATCATGATAGGAGAGAAATGACATATACGTAGTGTCATAATAGTAAACATGACGTTCGCGTGGGAAGTGTTCCGCAGGACTCGTTGTGACCGAGCACCGTGGATTACACTCAAATATAAAGATAAATAATAGATTTCTCATATTCTGCTTGTGATATTTATTTCCTTCTGCAAAACACAAATATAACAGATATTAAATTTCCTACATAACAATTAATATTATATTACAAACATAATTTATATATTTTTTGTAATGAAATCTATTACTTATATTTATATTTGCATGTAATCGACGATGCTCTTGGCATGGCTCTTAGCGATGGTCACGACGAGTCTTGCGGAACACTTCTCACGCGAACGTCATGTTTACTTTTATGACACTACGTATATGTCATTTCTCTCCTATCGTAGTTAGTCACTGCGCAGGCGTGCTCCGCAGACGGAGCAGTGACTCTCCTTCTTTTCAAGTCGTAATGTGTTCCTAAATTTGCTAAAAACGACCCACCAACCTTTAAGTTTGTGACTGTACGACATCCAATATCCAATAGGAGAACAGCTTTCTAATGGAGAGTTGAATTTTCTATTGGAAAGCTGTTCTCCTATTGGATATCGGACGTTTACGTCATACGTTGGACATCGAACGCGGTGTGAATTCTGCATAACAAGTTCACGTGAAAAGTATTACGATTCTACGCTTCACCGAGTTTAGTGATCACGAGTTCACGCGAAACTTTTTACTTTTCACGTTTCCGCCCTAGGGGAAAAGTTACGTGATCGCTGCCCTGGGGAGCGGTGCATTTGGACACAGCCAATCACAGCATCGTATGATTAGAGACATTTGTAGGGTCCCTTGGAACAGCGACTTGTGATTGGACTGTGTTCAATTGCCCCGTGTCCAACTGATATACACCCGCTGCCCTGTACTGGCAGTGAATTTCGGAACGCAACCCGAATTCGCTATTACTAAAATCCGAAGGTGCTCGAGGCACACAGATGGCGTCTTTAAATAAAGGCGGGAGTTTCCGAATCGATCGATAAATGTCAAGAGGTTCTATATTCATCAGCGAGAGCGATTGCGAATTGTTCTGCAACAACGCAGCCGACGAGTGTCAAAGCTAACGGATTGCTTTAACGCAGGTTTGCCGAACAAGAATCAAGACGTGGTGGATTCACAAATTGACCGAGCAACCTGTGTCATCTTGCGTGGCTCATTACTCCTTGTGTTGTTTTTTCCGGTACGGAACACATCTCTCCTCCTTCCCGCTTCTGTCTCTTTCTCTCTTTCACACCATACGTCTGACAAGTGACAACGTCAGAAAAGAGTAGTTTACTTTCAAATTAAAGTGAATTCGATGCACCGTAATACACGACAAATGTGTGCAAGTGGTTATGTTTAACTATAATTATATCAGCGATGAAGAAATGGAATCTAGCAGCGAGGAAAGCGACAGCACCGGTCGTCGCGTAAGAGGTACGTACTCCCGATAGTCTCGAAATCACTTGGTAATATATACGTAGTATAAGGTTACACGACGATATATATGTTGGCATCCTCAAAATAAATGGTTAAATTTGAAGAATTTATTCCATTTATCTCGAGGATACAGCAGAGTCGTACTTTAGTAGAATAGCGCTTTCTCTTCGACTCGTAAATCTGCTATTACCTCCAAAACTGACAGACAAACAATGAACATATGACACATATATTTTTTCCATTCATAATTAGGATTGCCAGACGTCCAAACTGCAACTGAAATCTGGATGTCTGACAATCTTATTTGTAACGCAGGACAGAATGAATTGTCAAAGTCCAGTGGCTGCTTTCTGGAACTTCCTGTGTGTGTATGATGTACATTCACCGACCTAAAGAAATCTGTAATGAGTGTAAGGACTGATTGCACCAGACAACAGTCAAGAGTGTCTTGTTTGTGTCTACCAGTTGAAATTTGACACGGAATTCTATGATGTAAAGAGAAAGATGTAGAGTTTAGTCCAGTAAAAGAGCTAGTTTTCATATCTAATTGATGCAACCAGAATCATCAAATTGATCACTTTGAAGTTAATTCTTCAGTAAACGCATGCGTTTTCATTACTTTAGGCACTTGATTTACCACTATATGTGTATATATTGTCAAGATAGAATATATTTTTTTGAAAATACATGTATAAATGATAGAGACTATATATATATATACATATATATATATATATATATATATATAATATATATATAATATATATACATATACATACATATATATATATATATATATATATATATATATATATAAAACAAAGAACGATATAAATATCTTTGATTAGTGACATGTATAGCCTTCAAAATATGACATGTATAGACTTCCCAATTACATTTGCAAAATATGTGCCTGATGAAGAATTATAAACTGTTTTGCAAAGTTTTAGTCTCACAATTTAACCACAAATTTTGAAGTTAAGAGGAACTGCAGACTATCTAGGTATACTCTCCTCTGATGAGATTTATGCATTTTTCTCCCCAACATATAGTATCAGAATAAATGTAAACAGATCATCAAACATGCAATATGATACAGATATGATTGCAGACGTGTCGGACGATAGTTCAGATTCGTTCAGTATGGATGAAATACCAGTGCCTATAAACAATACATTTGATGTAACATTACCAGCAACCCACTCGGTGAGTACATGCTTGTTTATAGTTTGAGAAATGCATGGCATTTAGTTTAGATCACTGTAAAAAATAATTCTTTATAAGATATGTAAGCATACATTATACATATATTTTATATACAAAAAGATACATATACTGCATTGAAGTAAATATTATTTGGTTGTTTTCAAGTTCAAATTTTATATATCCCCAGATTTATTATAAATTCATCATAAGTATCAAAAGATGTTCTGAAAGTTAATGAATTAATCTTTTCCCTTAATATGCACTTGTGAAAAATGAAAAATCTAATTCTGAAAATCTATAGAAATGTTTACTTTTCACGAGTTTATGTTGGACAGAAAGATTCATAATTATTTTCAAATGCTTTAAAATTATTCATTTTTCATGATTTCATACTAGAGAAAAAATTATATGATTGATTAGTAAGATCACAGATTCACGCAAAAAGATTCATGACTGGTGCTCTGAATCCTAGTAAGTTTAGCATTTCAATCAAGAATACTACATAAAAACAAAAATGTGGTTCTCTTATTATTATTATATATATATATATATATATATATATATATATATAAAGTTAAAGCAACATTCTCTTTGATAAAGTTTTATGACATTCTTGCAAAAAAATATAAATTCTCTTTTTGCATAAGAAAACTTTTGCATATATGCAAAAGCTGAAATAGCTGAAGCTAAAAATGAACTTCTCTAAAATTTGCGTTGAATATATTTTAATACTTTTATCAAAAGAATATTTTTTGCTGAAGAAAACCATTATTTCAAAAAAGGAAAGTAAATTGAATAATCACAGTAGAATTATTTTCTGTGTGTATATATCTCACATCCCCTTATATCTTACATATACATAAGTATATATAAGTTTATATTCTATAGTACCTGGGACCGAATTTGGAGGAATTGAGAGGGAGAACAATACTGGATGATGGCATTTATATGAATTTACCACTACTGATAAAGCAAACCGTGCTATTTCCTGGACAAACTTTGCCAATGACAATCTTCAACCTGCATATTGTTGACATTCTGAAAAACTGCATAAAAAATGATCGTACTTTTGGTTGTGTATGTTATGGTAATCCTGTCATACAGATAGGAACAACTGCTGAGATATACGAGTACAGAGAGGGAACTGGGAGAAATGGTTTTCATTTGAAAGCCAAGGGCAGACAACGGTTCAAAATACTACGTATTGTTTCACCGGTCAGTTATTTTTTTTTTATATATGAGTCATGTTATACAAAGTACCTGACGTAATGTATATGCTCGTGTGTGAATATATATAAAACTTATCAAACTAAACGAAAAAGTCCTATATTATTTTACAAACGATAATTTTTTAGATATCAGTGAGAGAAATTAGACAAATTAGAATATGTGACTCAATGAGACAAACTCTGTAAGTTCCATTCAAGATGTCAGAATTTATTGACAATCTTTTGGCAATAATAGGCATTAAAATGTGCACTCATTTCGCAATGAGTGCACATTTTACTGTCCACAATACTTGTTATCATTAAGAAACTGTTAATATTCAAACATCTTGGATAAAACTTTGCCTACAGAGCTCGTCTCATCGTATCACACGCACTTATTCGCTAGTTTTTATTAATATTTAATCTAATTAATATTTGATTAATATTTAATAATATATTTAATAATGTTTTTTATGTTTAATAATATTAAATTAATGTTTTATTAATTTATTAATATTTGTTTTACTATATTTAATATTTATTAATATTTTATTAAAGTATTTTTATTAATATTTTATTAATATTTAATCTAATTTTAATATCTCAATAATTATTGTAGTTTGTGCAAAATAGTATATAACTTGTTCAGTTTCATGAATTCTACTTGTATATGAACAAACATACACGTTGTGTCAGACACTATGCATATGTAACAATTATCGAAATTATTAAATAATTAATGCTATAATTAATTTTTTTTTTAATATTGAAAAAAAATAATATAGATCTCTCTTTCATATCAAATGTCAGTGCATTAATAACTATACTGCATTACTTGTCACAATTTTACTTATAAGAATTTTATATTGCTTATAACCAGGAACATCATAAAATTTCGGCCAATGTTAAAGTGTTACCAGAGATAACACTTGGGCCACCATTCTGGGACCAACGCTTGGCCTCATTAGATCGTTTGAGAGTTCATCCTGATTTGGAGGAGAACATAAAAAAGCAAGAGAGAATAGAAAATCTGGATGCAATGATAACTCCTTGGCCAGCTTGGATCTACAGGCAATATGATCCTGCAAGACTTTCCACGAAGATACGTCATCATTTGCAGTTTCTTGAAATTAGTGAGTTATGTCTTTAACCCGTAACAGGTACAATGGAGTCCCAGGGACTCCAACTAATTTTATTTTCGTGATAATTCTTAAACTATCCACTGTATGGCGTTAATATCTTCAGTACCTTTCGAGTAACAGTTTTCAGTGTGACAGAAGAAAAGATCATCGAGTTATTTGTAAGTAGAATTATATGCATTTGTTTTTCGTCTGGGGTCATAGTAATCCCATTATGCCGTTAACGTTACTTTTATGAAAATAATTTTCTTAATCTTCAGCTTAATATGAGTCATTCTTCACGCAAAAGAGTAAAAGCTCTTGCCTTTCAGTTAGTAGAACCTGATCTTAAGAGACGTCTTACAACTCAATATATTCATAAGTCATTGCGTTTAATAATTTCATCTATTTTAAAAATTAAAGAAATTGAAAGATCTAAAATTATTTTATCATCCAAAGTAAGATGTAATAAATCCTAGAAGTAAAGATATGAAGTCCAAAGAAGTATATGTTAGATGCAATGAACCAGTATGCATCAAATGTGCAAGCACTGTCCGTAACGATTGCATCTAAAAACCCTCTAAGATTTTAATATTGTATTTAATTTAACAATACCTGTTTATATTTTTTATATAATCTATAATTTGTGGACTTAGATTAAAACATACATTTTTTTCTTTTTCCGATTATTTGTCTTTCAATGTATTTTATTTCAACACGGTCCACATTGTGTTCATTTTATAATCAGTTAACGTTTTCTTTTAGATTACTAAAAAACTGAGACTGTTATTATATATGTCTAGTTGTAATATAATATTTGCAAAGTATTATTTTCGAACTATAAAGCGTTTTTCTTATCTTATTACCTTTTATTATCATATTAAAAATGGCAAAAATTTATTGGGTTCCGCCGGACCCCACTATATCTATAGCTTGACTAAAAAGGCATCGTACTTATTACAGGTTAATAGAAAAAATGTTTTGCATATATTCGAAATTTACAATTTGCAATAAAACTTAATTTGAACTTAGTCTAAACTTAGCCATAACTTATGCAATTATTTGCTTTGACTTACAATTTGTTTGAAAATTTTTTCTACATTATAGGAGGAGGTAACGTACCTAAAGATCCTGTCGGTTTGTCTTTCTGGGTCGCAGAGAATATTCTGATAGATCACGACGAAAGACTTGAATTACTACGTCACGATTGTGCTATTACTCGTTTGCAACGAGAATTAAAGTATCTCTTAGAGGTATGTAAAAAATCTATAGTGATCTATAACGATCTATAACGATGATTAATTTATGCGTAATTAATCCTTTATAATTTTTAACCAACGCACTAGTAAATTCTAATAATCATTCAGTAATAACAAGGTGCAAGAATCATGAGAGTAATATTTCTTTGTCGCAACAAAAGGTACGCAAAGTTCACAAAATGCACAATAGTAAAACTAATTGAAAAGATGTAAGTACAAAAGAATTTTTGGTATTAATAATTCCAGATTTGTTTCTATGTTACAAATATAAGTTAATATAAGTTAACGAGTGATACAATATTTATAATGTTTTTTTATATTTGTTATCGTTTGCAGAAGTTATTATTTGTTACATGTTAAAATCGATGCGGTAATAGTGTTAGAAAAGAATCAAAAGTTTAGATGCGAGTGCAATATAATGGAAACCGTTTGCCTGTTACGACTTTAAAAAATCTATGTTATTTCGTCCATTTGTGTGACTCAATATCTACATAGCTGATATGCAACAATTCGTTCAAAAATAAGTTTCCGTTTCAATGTCATTTGCAAGACATGTTTTAGAATTGAGGAAAAAAATGGAGCTTGTGACGAGTGCCGTCGAAGGAACGTCGTACGATACGGCGACTTATAGAATCCCTAGAACACAGCTAGGCAAGCGATGCACTTTTCGAGCAATTTTCGGGAACACCTCGCGTTGTTTCCCTTGCCTTGTCGCTTGAGCTTCAAGAGTATGGTCTTCGTATATCATGCTATATGGAATTCGTAGGAGGAAGAAAAATAAGATTTGTGGATCTTTTCTTAAAGATACAATATATTTTGTCAAATTTTTATTTTGATTGTAAATATTTTTTTTCAATAATTTTCCACGTTATCCAAGAAATACTATTATTGACACGTTTTTTAAGTTAAAAAAAATTGCAAAACGCGTAATAGTATTTTATAAGTGACATGGAAAACTTTTGAAAACATATCTGCAATCAATATAAAAATGTGATAAGATATACCGCATCTTTATAAGTTCATCTCCTAGTAGGCATTTAGTCGCAGAACAGTTCAGGGAAGCTCTTTTACATCTCGAGCCTTGCTCGAGCTATCTTCTAAATCCCTACGGGACTTAGTTTCAGGAGCGACGTGGTCGCCTCCTCAGCATCTTCACATTTTTTAAATGCCGACAATACTTAGTCGCGCGACGGCGCATTCGTCCTGTGCTGCGGATACCAGTGACGGACCTCTGGTACCGCGCCGAGCCCGTGTGCTCATAAAGGCACGATCATAGATCACGACAAAACGCTATTCGATCGGTGTGCCTTTAGCTCCGAGAAACTGAGGCGTCTTCCGAGCATGGAGCGCCAAAAAGGGTAGCCGACTTGAAAGTTACTACTTCGCGAGATTATTTCCGTATATATAGTGCGTTAATATAAGTTCGTGTGCGATTAAGTTGAAATTACGTAAAGTCCGAGGACTCTTCTCCTAAGCGTTCTGCGCTCCTTGACTTAAAGGCTATGTCGCTCTTCAACATGTCGGGGCGCGTCGTAAAAAAGTGACACGTTCCGTGAAGCTGTGACCAGCTTGCGTTTACAGACATCAGGAGACGCACTCTCCACGGTCATCCCTAGATTAGGTCTGCGTCCATGTCATCTTAAAGACACGCTTGTTTCGAGCGCATAACAGTGGTCTGTTTTTTGTAATTGAACTGGCTGTATTAGCTTGCATTAATTCTTTTTTCTCTTTTTTTACATCAAGTCACAGTTATATATTTTTCTTTTTAAGTTTTAAAAATGCGCTAATTCAATTACAAAGAATAGACTTCCGATAGCGAAAAAGTTCGCAGTCGCGACGACTTTTATCCAACCCCGAAAATGAATTAGCCGTTCTTCCGTTCAATCGGCTGTATGAAACAGAGCTGTTATGTTAATATCTTGAATTATCTATTGATGAGTGGATTTCGTTTGTTTAGTTAGCGATGGAACAATTTTAGCGTGTTCAATTTAAAATTCAACAAAACCGAATTCGCGTTCACTTTTGTTTTCAGAACTTTATACTTTAAGTTAACGAAGTTTATATTCAGATACTCTATATATGTATTGTTAATACGCTATCTCTGATATCGGTCTTTCGTTTGTGTAGGATAAGATCTACGTGTGCATTCAATGCGAGACTTTCATCGGTAGGCAGTCACATATGTTCCCAATGAACAGAGAAGGCCCGCAGGGTACTTACGTTAATCCTGAGGGTATTATACACGAAACTATAACCTTTTATCATGTTCAAGGAGTGGCGCTTAGTGGCTCTTCACCTTCGACTAATTACAGTTGGTTCCCAGGGTAAGAAAATACTTTATATCAACGTATATTAGAACAATTGTCACGCTCTAACTCTGGCAATGATATCTATTTAGTTATGCCTGGACAGTAGCGCTTTGCAAACGTTGCCGTCGTCACGTCGGTTGGAAGTTCACCGCGACAAATAGCGATTTAAGACCAAAAGTTTTCTGGGGCGTGACACGCGGAAGTTTGAAAGACAAGGACTTGAAATTGAAGAAGCAGGAATAAAGATGATCCATGTACAAATAATCTATATAGACAAGGATAGCTGTTATATTATCAGTAGTCGTATAAGTTACAATACAGAAGATTTGTTTATGTTCAAGCTGTCAGTTAATGCTATTGCAGATTGAGATTGACTCTAACTCCATTATTAATTGTTTTATTATAAAATCTTTTTTAATGCAGACTACAAAACTAAAAGATAACGTATTTTGATTGTCATTTTTATACTAATTGTTTTGTCGATATGTATAATAGAATTGGTTAACATACAATATCTGTTGAAAGTGTTTCTGGAGGTTTACATACGGATACCTCAATGCTACCGGAGTTTTTTTGGGTTTTTGTAATTGTAATAAAAAAAATGCAAACTGTGGGTGTATATATATATATATATATATATATATATATATATATATATATATACACATATACGTTATATATAGAAAAATATGAGTTTTCTATATTATAATAAAAGAATATGAAATCGCGTACATGAATATATTATTTGTTAGATCTTTTATCATAGTTATCAGAAAAAAATTTCATATATGTTCCATATTTTGAATGTATTTAAATGTATATAATATGTATATAATTTAAACACCTTTTTCAGTTCACAAAATTTTAAATCCCTCAAAATTGAAGATTTAAAAAACATAAAATCTCTAAATTTATTTAAAAAATGCTTAACATAATTGAAAAATCCATCTCCCAAAATAGTATTTCATTTTTAAACTACCACGGATTAAGAGATTAAAGTTATGTAAAAATTGTTTAAATTTTATTAACCCTTGTGTACGCACCCAACTTTACCAACGTTCGGACGCACCCGGGTACCCCGGTGCCCACCTCTCATTTTTTCAATTTTTTCAATATTTATGCAATTGAAATGGTTTCCTTAACGTTTATCTCAGTAAATAAACATAAAAAATGAGAGGCCGAAGCATTTGTAAATAAATTGGCCTGCTGTAGCTCGTACAAAGGTAAGAGAAAACAGGATTTTTGAAGTCGACGCAGGTAGCGCGCGGTTACTAAGGCTGCCAGGCAGTCAGCTGTTTGGAGTTTTAAAAGCAAACAAAAAGTTCCCCTCCTTACATCTAAAGAAGGGTCTGAATAGATGTGAGTCAGTGCGAATCGTGTTCTTCGCACGCACAGACGTGCTACAGTTAACGGAACCGTTTGGCTAGCCTACGCAATATACTGTAGAGACATGGAGGAATTATCGAGGACTGAATTTGCAAGGTAAAACAAAATGTACATCAATGGTTTTTTTT